CAGGTGTGACCGGAGCATAGACAAGGCCGAGGAGGAAGTAAAGTTGAATCCGAGGCTCTGTTGCGTAGAAATCGATCTGTCCCGGATCCATAGCTTCTTCTCTGTCCTTTTCGGTTTTCACCAAGAAGAAGTTCTTCAAATGGAAAATGACAAATGGTTTAAGCCTAAGAATCTCTCCCGCCACACCCGCCCAACCGTCCACCATTATATACGTTATAAAGAATGTTGCTTTTATCGGTATCGCTACTCCAATCGTCCGTGGAATCCTGAAACAATAATGTAAGTAAAAGTTGAGAATAGAGTATTAAGAGAGTGAAAATGCGGATGAGCTAGATAGAGATGGATCGAGCTTTACTGATTTGCGGATTGTTTAAGGAAAGAGTCGAGCTGTTCAAATGCAGATCCGGTGACTATGCTACCGAGGAAAACATTCACGAGGTTGAATAGATAGTACCGGAAAGCTGCTCTTCTCTCTAATGATGATATCGAAACAAACCCTTCGAATTTCGACATGATCATCAAAATTGATGGCAAAAACATCAAAAAGAGCTTCAGTACAATACCGGGAAGAAAACCTTGGATCACTGATTTAATAAACTTCCTGCAAAAATAAGATTAATCAAATTGAAGTAAGCACATGTTCTCAATTGGAAAAGGCAAGCAAGAAGCTCGAGAATTGTACATACTTTTCGACGATGGTATTAAGGAACGGAGCATATTTCTGGATACCTTCGATACTCGCTAAGGATTGCACAAGTGCGATTGGGATGATGAAGAAGAAAGTGAGGAAGAAGAAGGCGACGTGCATTACAAATCTCCTTACCGTGAGAGATACGTAAGGAATCGCTAGGTTTGACCAGTACACTTCTCTTGCCTCGGGGGCCCATTCGGTTAACCATTCAGTTGGGTTCTTTGTCTGTTGAGTCTGTGCGCAAACCGCAGCGCCCCAACGCGTTTTAAATGAGACAAAAGCTGCTGGCATTACACCTTTTTCATCTTTCTTTACTCTGTTCCTTTCTTCCATTATCTGTGAAAATCAATTTTTAAGTATGTCACATCGAGTTTAGTGTTTTACTAGGTGCCCTGCCCGCGTACACGCATATAAC